GTTTTCTCGAAGAGCATAGAAATGGAGCAGTGTTTGTATTTCTTTTCTAATACATTTCTTTATTGATTCAGAGAGGAAGGGAGAGAGAAATAGAACATCAATGATGAGAGAGAATCATTGACCAGCTGCCTCCTGCTGGGGATGGAGCCCACAACCCTGGCATGTGCCCCCGACTGGAATTGAACCCGGGACCCTTTAGTCCCCAGGCCCACACTCTATCCACTGAGCCAAACCTGCTAGGGCTGTACCAATGCTTTTTATTGCTTTAAGTCATTCCCCACTTGTGATGAGCTTTTATATGTTTACTAGAGGCCTGGTGCACAAAAATTTGTGCACTCGGGAGGGTCCCTCAGCCCGGCCTGTGCCCTCTCACAGTGGGGACCCCTCGGGGAATGACCACCTGCTGGCTTAGGCCTGCTCCCCGGGGGATTGGGCCTAAGCTGGCAGTCAGACATCCCTCTGGCAGCCCGGCAGCCCTCGGGGGATGTCCACTTGCCAGCGGAGAGCAAGCTTAGCTGCAGTCGGACATACTTAGCGCTGCTGAGGAGGCGGGAGAGGCTCCCACCACCACCGCTGTACTGGCAGCCGTCAGCCTGGCTTGTGGCTGATCGGAGCTCCCCCTGTGGGAGCACACTGACCACCAGGGGGCAGCTCCTGCATTGAGTGTCTGCCCCCGGGTGGTCAGTGTGTGTCATAGTGACCAGTCCTTCCCAGTTGTTCTGCTGTTAGGGTCAATTTGCATATTGCCCTTTTATTATATAGGATAAGATTTTTAAATGTAAATAAATGGACACATTAGCAGATACTCAGATTTGCTCAGTCTCGGCACTAGTGACATGTTGGCTTGGCCCAGGTCCTTGTGTGGGGGGCTGCCCCGTGCCTGGTGGGATGCTCAGCAGCAACCCCGGTCCCTGTCTGCAAGCATCGACCCCGTCTGTGACAACCAAAAATGCTTCCAGCCTTGGCCAGGTCATTGCAGATCTGCCTGGGTCAGGCCCACGTCCTGGTGTGGAAATGAGGGCAACCTGGCATCCACCAAGTGCAGAAGGACCTAAAAGAGGAGAGGCGAACTCGGAGCCTGGCGGGGAGGGCATTCAGCTCCCGGTCCCGCCCCTGGAAAAGCCACAGCGGAAAAGCCATCCGATGGGCCCACGCCATGTTGACAATCACCACAGAGCCCAGCGCCGAGGGTTGCAAAGTGCTCCCTCCATCAGCAGCCCCCCGTCCCCCCTTCCACTGTGACATGACTCGGGCCCAGCATGGTCTGTGCCCCTCAGGACTGCGGGTCCAGCAGTGGAGGGCGTCGCTCCAGAGGCCTCCCCAAGCCTCTGCCCCCACAAGCTTTGCCTATTCAGTTCTTTAATTCCCTCTTAACCGCGCTTCCAAGGTGCCAGAGGCGACCAGGGAGGTTGTTTCTGGAACGGAAAGAGGCCCCATGACAATAATCGCTGCTGCTCTCCCTGGCCTCTCATGGCTGTGTTCTTCCTGTACAGGTGGCACTTGCTACAGCAAAGCCGTGGCTCTCCCTGTGTCAGACCAGGCCCTGGAGGTCACGGGACGGGAACTCAGAGGCTTAAAAAACGGGAACGTCCAGCCGCAGGGACTTCAGGCACGGCTGGATCCAGGGCTTCAGGTGACGTCATGATGGACGGCCGCCTCCATTCGTCACCGGGGGCTCTGGCAGCGCTGGGCTTGCACTTGCTGCTTACGATCTCGTGGGAAAAGCGTCTCCTTCCCAGTATTTCAGTAAGGAAAGGCGGCACCGCCACAATGCTGTTTTCTTTTTAGGGAGGAACTGTGCTCCCGCAGTTTCCCACGACATGTCTGCGGCTGCCGAGTACAGCGCTGGGCCTCGGAAAGACCTGCTAGAGTGTGAGCCGCTTGGTGAATGTCCCCTCTGACTCACATGCCGACGGTAAGAGAATCAGAGACCACCGTGGCGTGGCTTAGATCCCATTTCTTTTCATGCATCCTGCACCTTGGGGATTTAAAAGTATACATATCCTAGAGGCCCAGTGCACGAATTCGTGCATGGGTGGGGTCCAGCTGGCCCGCACCGATGGGGCCTGATCGAGGGTGGGGTCGGCCGGGGGGAGGGGCCGTGGGCGGTTGGCGGCCGACCGTGGGCGGGCTGGCTGGGGAGCGGGGGCGTGATCGGCTGGTTGGCTGCTGCCGTGTGCATCATAGCCATTGGTCTTTCTGGTCATTCTGCTGTTGCGGTCACTGGGCTTTTATATATATATATATATATATATATATATATATATATATATATATATATATATATATATATATATATATTTGTGCACTGGGGCTGGGGGAGGGGTCCCTCAGCCGGGCCTGCGCCCTCTCGCAGTCCGGGAGCAGCCTAAGCCGTCCTCCCCACCTGTACGGCAGAGCATTCATCTGCCCTGTGGAAGGAAGGCGTGCATTCTTTTTAAAAACTAACTTACGGTGAGTGCCCAGGCATTGACAAGTTTTTGGAAAGGCCGGGCGGGAAGCCTGGCCTGGAACTCCTTGGAGCTTCAGGGTCTTGGCACGAAGTCTGCAGTTCACATGCGTGGCCACTAGGCGGCGGCAGGTAGTGCAGCCGTGGGGTTCAACCCACAGTCCCAGAGGTGTCCCCTGTGGCTGCAGGTCAGAGGGTCTATTTTTTCCCTCTGGGGAAAGAGGTGACAGATTTCAGAGGCCTGTGACTCTCCAGAGAGTTAAGAACCAGGGTTACGAGTGACGGTTTAACAATTTTGCTTTGGGATGGGTAACATATTTCAAATGGTGACAGCATACGAGCACGTGTCTGCTCACGCCTTTTCCTCTGTGGTTTTACACACGTGTTGGCACACAGCACACATCTTGTCTTCGTTCCCTCATGAACAAGGCGCCTTCGAGAACGTTCCACGTTAATCCATTGCATGGTCCCTCGATACATGCGGGCAGTTAACTACTGGTGATGGGAGTTGCACATCTTTCGTTCCTGGTTTGTTGTTGACTTTGCTACGGTGGAGGTTGCCATACAGGAATTTTTCAGAAGTCAAGTTTGGGACTCGTTTACGTTACGGCTTTCTAGTTTTGTGGAATACTGAGACAGGCTGGCGCCACTCCAAGCTTCGTTAAAAAGCCACTGAACAGGGACGGTTGAAGCCCACCCGTTTAGGAGCCCCGAGGGCTGCTCCCTGCGCCTGGTGGCCTGTGGATCAGCACAGCTGCTCCTGTGCAGGAGGGGCTGACCTCAGCGGCTGCCCAGACCTGGCCCCTGGGAAGGGCTCTCGCGAGGTGGTTGGGGGAAGAGCACAGAGCTCCCAGCTTGCCCACGCCCCAGGACACGCAGGGCCCCCGGGTCATCGCAGACACAGGCGTCTGGTTCCTCTTGGGGATCTGACCACATTGGAACGAGGCCAGCAGATGAAGGCGCTGGGACCCCAGCAGAAATGATGGTGACAGGTTTCAGAGGCCGGTGGAGTCATTTCTTCCCAATTGTTGCTGTCCAGTCACTGGCATTTGGGGAAGAGCTTGGTCCAGAGCAGCCCCATGAAGCTGAGCCTTTTGTGGGCTGGGCCACCAGCTGTCTCGTAGGTGAAACACAACATGAGGCAGCACCTCGGGGAGGCGAGGGGCGCCTGCCCTGGCCTGCTCGGGCTCGGGCTCAGGCTCTGTTTGGCATTTGGGTTACAAAGCTGCCCCCCAGCTGGAGGCTCTGGCTCTCTGGGTCCATGTGGTTTGGTGTGGACGGGGGAGCCAAGGGCTCAGGCCACAGGAGTCCACACCACGCCAGCCTTAGCCCAGAGCAGGACTCGGCTTCCCCAGCCCCTCTCCTCAGGGTCACCCACCCAGACCTCCCCTTCCTCCTGTGGCCTCTGTTCTGCTTCAGGGTCCCCCACACCCCCGCCCTACCCAACAAAGAAGAAAAGGAAACAGAAGGCAAATGACCAGGCCTCGGGGAGGAGGCCCCCAGCCGCACACCCCGCACGCACCCCTGCAGGTCTCCAGGCAGAACCTCAGGTGACTACGTGGGTCCTGGGACTGAATGAACGGGCAAGAGGGGTCAAAGGTGACGCCAGCGTCTCCACAACCGGAAGGGCTTCCAGGGGGGTTGCTCGCCCACTCTCCTCGGGTGTGTGTGAGTCGAAGCGGACGGGGTTAGGGTCCTCTCCCTTCAGGATGGACCATGCGGTGGGGAGGCCATCAGTCCAGGCTCAGGCAGCGCGGGGTGCCAGAAACGGGGTGATGGGTGACCAGAGACCTGGACTGCGGCTGGCGCCAAGCGGATCGGCAGGGGGACCGCCCCTGGCCCATGCGCTTTCCGGAGCTGCAATCCCTGAGGGCTTCTCGCTGGACGCCCACCCCCCTCCCAGCACCACGCTGGGCCGAGCAGGGCGCGGTCGCCAGGGCCCCTGCGCGCTGCACGCAGGCGCTCCCGAGCCACCAGGGGGCAGCACGGCGGCGCGGGGCGGGTGCGGGCGCCGCGGAGCCTCCATCGCCCGCTCTGCGTCTGAGGACCAGACCCCAGGCAGGTCTGGGGCGCGCCCGGGGATTTGCGTGCTCCCCAGGCCCGAACGCCTTGGGCGTCGCTGCTTCCAAAGCCCGGGCTCCGGCCAGAGTCCCCGAGATCAGGCCTGCAGGA